TTATTCGCGCTCTGGGTTCATCGGCTTGATGATTGAATTGTCAGCGGACTTCTGCCTCATCTTTTGGTATTTTTGCTTGTCTGTCAGTCACCGTGTCGTATGATGTTTTTCTATCACTAAGAATTTGTTTTTTTGCAACTATTTTCATGACATTTTGCTAAACACCGATGATGCCGTGGTGTAAACCTAAATCGCTTGCCTAGTGCCATTGATCTTCCATCCTAACTGAGCAATTCCAGAGTTGTTCATCTTTGAACACAACAACGGTTCGTCTCTGTCAATTTGTTTTGTCAATGTTGCAGAAATTGACAAATGTCTGTTAGATGGCAAATAGTCGACGGTTCTTAGGAAGGTTTGACCTCGAAACCACTTGCTCGAATGGACTAGTATTTGAAGTCGGCGGTGGTGTTTTGGAGAAAATGGGAGGAAGAGAAAGAGGGATAAGTGGTGCATCAGTAAAAATATCTGCATTTTAGTTGTTTGTGTGGACGCATTGTAGTATTTTCACATTTTACCATAGTTATTCCTTTGATGCATTCGATGATCATCTGGGTCCTTATTTGCGCTGACGGGTCACTTACGTCAAGGCTGGTAAACAACCAGATGTGAGTCTGCCAAAGGACCGTTGTGCCAATGCTAAGTTGATGATTAGTTATGAAAAGGCAACTTGTGGTAAATGAAGCTGTTGGTGAGTGAACATGGACTAGCGGTAAGAAGCCTTCCATGGGGGCATGGTGCCGCACGATAGAACAGCTATGTGCCAAATCATAGGATATTGGTGGCTTAGCCAATAAGGTGGGCCGCAAACTGTGTGCAGCAAGATATACCAAGTTCTTATTTAAGCGAATCTACAGACGTCTTTTATCTGCAATCCATTCATGGTCTTCAGCAAGCGGATACTATGCTGACCCATTATAAAACTCAATTAAATCATGCAGTGTGTGCGCTAAGACTATGTGGAAACTGTACCGAAAATCAGGAAATTTGTTATAAGCCACACAATATGTTTGCAAGTTACTTGAGCAGCAATGGCTGCTTTTAGGCAAGGGCAAGTTTTTTTAAAAGCAAGCTCAACAGTTTGCGAGAATTTCCTCTCCTGTTGCCGCTTGCTACTGCCTAAAATTCAATATATCAGAGTAGAATTGCATTTTGGTATTTTTTTAAGGCAACTCGAAAGCTCGTCAAAAAGATGATTCGATAAGAATAAGAAACAGTGATTGCTGTTTATGCTGCTAGTGTAATGCTTAAAATGCATCTTTATCTATGTCCTGCATTATTTGATGAGCATACTTTGCTTCAACATAGATTTTGGCATGATACGAAAAACAGTTTTGATTTGTTGCAGGTATCTCACTCAGGAGATGCTACTACGATGAAGAATATTTGAGGTCCTATCATATCGGTGTATTTAGCACCATCTCATTAAATGACACTAATAAATGTGTCAAAAGTATAATGCACTTACAAATTCATTAAGACAATTGTCTTACTTTCCCCTGTTCACCTCCATGGTAACAAGCTTGTGAGTGAAATGTTGAATCGCCCACATAACTTACTACTCCATATGGAAAAGAAGTCGTTCAGTACGCTAAGAACGTGGAAGCTCATAGGCTGATGTGCTAATGAAACACTCCTACAAATGCACCACGATCTGTGAGTGCAAAGCATTTCTGGTCTAAGGATGGCATTCCAACTACGTCTCCTTTTGTTGGATACTTCGGTTCGGCTAAGAGATGCAGATGAATGGGCAGTAAGTTGCCTCTTAATACTTGACTCCGATGGGCTTACATGAGCAAATGTTTGACAGTTTGTTGCATTTATTGAGTAATAAATTTCGTTCACTCTCTCATGCGGCGCTCCAAACCAGTTTAACAGTGGTTACATTCTACTCCACTTGGCTCACTGAATAGAAATGTGTCTCCACTGTGGTCAATTCTGAACACCTGGCTTGCAGTTACGACTTGGGAGCAATTTGGAGTATATCATGACAAAGAGAGTGGGCAGATGTTTGCCTAAATTCATGTGAGCCGATAAGGATATACAGCCATTCAATCAGGCCTATCGTAGTGAAACTGAAGCACTGAAGCAACCAAGTCACGTTTGCTATCTATTTTAACTCACCCTTACGGCAAGGTACGATATTAGCAGGTAAATTAGACTTTTGTAAGGTGTTGGAGTAAATGTTAAGAGATTTATTCCATATTTAAGTGTGCAGTGAGGCCAAATGTCTATCAGTAAGATACAACGAATTTGATCAACATGCTAAAAGTCCAGGGCAGGCATTATGCTACAGCAATTAATTTTTCAGTTTATCGTTTGATGAATTTGTCAAACTTGACTTAACTCAAATATTATAGGCATAAATCGTTAATTACATGAACTAGTGAATGATTTCAAATCCCATTCAACCAAAATGAAC